TCTTTACATAATTGTTCGCAATGCCGAAACTTATATATTGTTTAAATTTTTATTTATGTAGGCCGACATTTGGGAGAAGCTTAAGAATGAAACAACGGTAGGAATGCAGGCGCCATATAATATTTCAGCAAAAGACATAGGAAAGAATTTTTTTTTCTGATTAGTTAAGATTTGATGTAAGGTATTGAACAATTAATTATGAACATCATTAATATAAACAATCCCCTTAAATATTCTGAAATTTTTTGATCTTTAGGTTTGATAAAGTCAGCTTCCTGATTGGTACTACCGTATACCAGATGAAATTATTATACATGCACAAAGGCCCTTATTATGAAGTGAGACTGTTATAATGAGCATGTTGAGTCAATGGCATATAAATTTCGACGCTAAGGACTGATGATAGCGAGGCTAACTCAGAACAGTGGGGTCATGGGCTATGTTTAGCTCAAGAATGTTTTTCAAGTACAAGAGATCAGACCCAATTCTAGCTGACATACTATATTATGGCCAATTAGAAGATATTGTTGAGGTAATTTACGTCGTTTGGTAAACCAAAACAATGTACTTACACGATGTCAAGGTTCCGGTGGTGTCCTGCCCAAAAAAGCCAAAGAAGAGAAATAATCGAAAAAAAAACGGATCATTATGGATTGTACACTTGATAATCTCCATCGAGAAGTATATTACGGATGAGAAATTCATTTTTGCCAGAAACAAGCTGATCATCTGCTTATTCGCTGAGAGTACGAATGTCATATCTGATGGGTGTCGTTTTTTGTACAAGCGAGCCAAGCTATCTGTTGTTCTACCTAATAACAATGAAAAAAAATATTGAGAAAGTGGAATATAATTTATAGTGAAACCAAATTCGGCCTTCATCTGATTGATGTTTGGCCGCAGAATTCTCTTACGCACAGAATGGTGGCGTTGGATGTAGGCTATGTAAATATATATGTTTTACACTGGCATTAAAGTTTTTAGCTAATCTATAATAAGAACATGCAGTTTCATTAATAATTATCTCTGAGCATGTTATATTTTTTTTTCTTCTTAACTATGTTAATAATTGAATTTGTAGATGAGGAGTATTTATGGAGACTCTTTGACCAAGCGGTGATCGATCACGTAGTATCACCCCTTGGTAGTGGTGCCTTGATGACTACACCACCATCCTTGCGGATGCAGCGTATAAATATTAATTAATACTTTTAATATATTTTATCAATTTATTACATTATCTAGCTAATATGTGATCAATGTTAGGGCCCTGAATAGCAGCTACCATCTCCGGGCTTTATTCATTCACCTTGGCCCCTCTGACTGCCCCCAGTTACCAGAACCATCCCCTTGATGCAGGTATGTCAATATTATAATGCTCAATTATAAACTGGTTAATTTTAAAAACTATATTAATTGATTCTCCTTTCTTATGCTAGGGCGCATACTTGGACACCGACATATCCTTCTTTATACATCCACACGGACTTGCCGGCCAAAGACACAGGAGGACTATCTTAGTTTACCTTTACCTCCAGCCTCCTCATAAGTCATATGGCTGACGCAGGAATAAGTATCATACACGTGGCTTTTACCGAGAAAATTAGAAGAACTGCGTGAAATGATTGTAGGAACGAAAACGGGTTGCATCGCAGCAAAGGAAAGCAGAGATGGCGAATGCGCTAAAATTGTATAAATATTTTAATTTTTTCACATTTTATATATTATATGATTATTAATTATTTATGCTTATTATTCGTAGGCGCCTAAAGGCGGATTCGACATCGAGAACAGACGTGGCGGAGTAAGCCTGCATTCCAAACAAACCGCAAGCAGGAATTGAGGGCAATAAATTCGGTTGAATAGTTTCTAAGTTATGCCCGTGGTCCATGGTCGACCCGCTTGAATGCATATATTTGGGGTTCTTAGTCGTAAGAGCCGACCATTGCTCAACCCTTGATTTTCAATTTCGAGAACTACCATGGAGCGCATAACGAGGCATATGGACAAGCCGCTTATGGTAACTACATATTGTCTATTACTTTTTATTATTAATAATTAGTATTTGATATTAAATTGTCTTTCCTAAATGAGTGTATGTAAATCTACAGGACTGCTTCTGGCTCTTGAGGACTTTGAGGGGGCTTTTGGAATTATGTGTTTCAAATGTCAAGCGTTGAAGCAGTTTCTCAAACAATGGAGGCATGAGATCAAGACATGAAACCTATTGACAGGTATGAGAAGACTGGCAATACGGTTTTAAACCTCGACGCCCGAAGTTACGCAGGTTCATTTCACAGCTCTCCCTCATTGTATTGGGAACAGCGATGTCTCCCAAGGTTAGTTTCATGAAAATTAACTTGTAACTTTTAAGATATTAATTTATTGCATATTGCTAATTTTTTTCTTTAAAAAAGAATAAATCCACGAAGGGTGTCAAGAAAATAGGAAGAAAGGAAGCTGCATGAACCACCACTTCGGGTCACATCCTATGCCAATTTATGTCGAGGATGTTTATATGTCAGGAATACGTAGATTTCGTCTAAAGTTTTTGTATGAATTTAATGATTAGTATGATTATGGTGTGATAATATTATAATATGACAGGAAATATCATTAATGCCAATACACTTAGGGCAGAACAGCGGGCGTATGGCATTATTCCGTGCATAGATATAGGGGGGCTGATGAGAAGCAATCGAGATAAGATCAAGGCAATCTTCGAGTTGTGTGGTGAGAGTTATACATATCTTGAGTATTATTATTAACTCTATTTTGTATGTTAATATTATGAGAAATCGAGAACAACAAATAACATTGTCTTTTAACCATGAATTTAATTATATATTTGTGACTTTAGGAGGATCTTGACCGTGCTGCATCCATATGGAGGCTGCCAACTGTGTTATATGGTCGCTAGGCAGGAGGAACAATTCTGAAGGCCGGACCCTCACATGCTTTCTTCAGAGGACAACATTGTACTCTCACACAGCATTTGATGGGTCATAATAGGTATGGATGTTAGAAAATTTGATATCAATTTGAATACTACATTCCTATTTATATTTTTTTATCATTATTGAATTCGAGATTTAAAATATTAATATTGCTTTCTCCCTAAAACATAAGAGAGAGCGAGATATCCTCTGTTTATGGTGTTGGGAGCTTCACCCGGCGTAACCATAGTGTCATCCACAGCATCCTTCCACAGCATTTACTATCATGAGAGCAGCCCCGCCTCGGTTCCAGGCTATTTTTTGCCAATTTGTTTCGCACGTTCTCTGCATATTTTGCTTGACAAGATGACTCGGATAGCCCTTACATATCCAGCGTGATCTTAATGAGATGACAAGAGCTTGCCACGCTGACGGCGAACTCGGATGGATGATCTACCTGGAGTGTTATGTCATGCCCAATATTTAAGCGGGTGTGATTCCATCATGGCGCGGTATGGTGGTGTTATACGCGATTATAAGCTCGCTCTGGCGTCCACATTCCTGCGTGCTGCCGTCAGTAGCCAGCCACTCAGGCTTACCTTACTTTTTTTCTTAAATTAAATAAATTCATTTATATTTATAATTTAACACCCCTTAAATACTTATTCAGGAAAACAATAAACCCCCTCAATCTATATCTAACCAAAACGCACCTTCAAACACTCGTTAACCACACCATCGAACGTGCGGCGTCCCAGCAAAAAACCTGGCGATACTAAGACGCATCCTCGTCAAGTACCAAACGAACCTCGGCGTTCAAGACCAAACCGACCCTGCTTTCAAGACCAAACCGACCATCGCTCTCCCCTCTCGTGTTAAAAGCAAGTCCGTACTTGAAAACGCCCGAGCGCTCTAACTAAACGCCGAGATCACTGTACTAAAACGCGGTGAGTCGCTTCCGCGGTATTGGAGGCAGCCCAGCCCAACACGTTCATAAACTCCAGCGAGTAGACGGGATACTGCCGACCGACGACGACGATTGTAGTTTATGAGGTTTTTGTGGATTTATTAATTTGCAAGATGAACCCAGCTATTATCTGGTTCGAAACGCGAATATTAACATTAACTTATATGCGTGAACTTGGATGTTATAAACAATACTGTTATTATGTCCGTGCTTGGATGTCCAACGAACTTTATAACAATACTTATATGCAGCTGTGGACTTTGTTTATTACGGCTTGAGATCTGATTATATTTATGGCTTATGGATCATGAATGCCCATCCTAATAGTTGGAATTTGTTATATTTTTGGGTTTGAATGACATTGTCTAAAATCTCTGATTATATTTGGCATGGTTGATCATGGTACCTTCAGTATATACGTCAGTATTTATTGTATGTATAATAATTTGTACAGCTGGGGAAAATACAAATTGTAATATATTTTTTTTTGCCTGGCGCAAAGCAGCAATCTAGACGGAATTCCGTCTAGTATGAACCAAACTAGACGGGAAATTCCGTCTGGTTGTAATAATTCAACCTTAGACGGGACTTCCGTCTAGTTTGGCTTCTTATAGACGGAATTCCGTAGCGGTCACCTAGACGGCTCCCCTAGGTTGACAACCTAGACGGATTCCGTCTAGGTTGACAACCTAAGACGGTTCCCCTAGGGTGTTTAACGTAAGATCCCGGATTTCCGTCTAGCACCAATCATCGTTATAACAAACTCTCACGAGAGAAAAATAGTAACTCGCTCTAGGTTTGGTTTCCGTCCTAGATTGATCAATCTATACGGAAATCCGCTCTAGTTTGATCCAAACTAGACCAGGTCGCGTACTGGTAACAGAATAAACAATCTACCTAGACGGACCAGAAAACGCCCAATCACTTCCGGTCTTTAATTCCGAATTTTAAATATATAGATATGATCCAACCTACGACGCGATTGGTAGAGACAACCCTCCGTACGTGAACATTTCCGTCTAGGTTGGTCGTTTTTCTACTAGTGTTATAATAAGTCTATTTTGGACAAATATTTGACCTGTCGTTTGTTTGCTCACCTGGATTTCTCCAAATACGGCCCTCTTCATCGCTAGATCGCTTAAGGAAATATCCAGGTTCTTGATAATTTGGATTGAGGAAGAGGCAGATAATTGATACACACAAAGATCAGTAGTCACCAAGAAACTTCCCTTAGCATATCCCCCACCGCTTTCTGTACTTCCCTCTGGAGATTTTGGGTTTAACAGTCTAAAATATGCCCGCTTCACACCGTGGGCACATTCTGAAGCTGTACAATCTGTATTATTGTTTTTCCAGAAGCAAGCGTAACAACCACGGCAAGAGAAATCACGTGGTTCACGCAGAGCAATTTCATCCATCTCCAGCATGCTGCCAGTGTAGCCAAAGAAGGGGGCGAGCTTAGGAAAGATAAGAATATTTTTGCACTCCTCAGATTTGAAATTGTCCAAACTCAAATTTTCAGCACTCTGATACAAGTTATCAACACATCCCAAGAACGACTTCTTAGTTTGAAGCTTGATTAGAGAACCAAGAGGCAAGGTCAGGAAACTGAATATAATGTTCATAAATTCTTCTCCAACTTCCACAAATGACACTTTGTTCGTAGATTTGTTTAAAATTAAATTGATGTGTGTTTCTTTTGATTCAGCTTCTGTGTTGCCTTCTCTTTTAACTTGTATCATTTTTTTAATACCAATTCCTTTTGACACATCATCAGTCACACCCATATTTTTGAAAACCAAGTCAGTAAGTGGAGAATTGGAGACCAGAAACCTTCGAAGCAATGTCAATATCTGCGTAAAATGCTTTATAATTGTTAGATACAAATTAAACAATACAAAGGTTGCCGATTAAAACCGTTTCATTGCAAAGGGAAATGGGGGAGATTGGCCTAATAGTGAATCTAAACAGTAAATAATTATTGTTATCATGGTACCTAAGGGATACAAGGAACAAATGCTGGTCAAATATCAACAGCAACTCAGAATGTTACTGATGCAAGACACTTAGTTGAGTCAAAATCAAAGGAAACAGATGGTTCACTGTTAAAAATAATTACGCAATTATTTTGTATTTGGCAATACTTTTTTTAAATTATAGTAACATATTATTGTATTATCCAATCTCAACATATTAACTGATATTGCAATCATCTTGGCGAAGATCTCTCTGAAATTTTATGATTAAGCTTTTCTAGAATTTCTACCTAATCAACGATGGACCATTTACAGTTTCATAGATATTATTTTATGGCTTTAAGTAAAACTAATAAGAAATATATTGCCTCATTCATGTTACCACTTTTGCTGCTAATGAAGGTGAAGCCAGTTTGTACTTTGTTGTCCTAAAGTACTTAAAAGAAAGAAGATGTGGCTCAATAGGGTGTTGAACTAGTAATAAAATCATGTCCCTAGCCTCATTAACAATCATAGGATATTTCTTTGTTGGGTAAAGCTTTATAGTTACCCAGGATCAAACTTAACCCACCTTTGGAAGTTGAAACTTCACGACGGATGGTACAAATAGATGATCTACTCGATTCACCTTGTTTCATAAAATTCATAAAGACAAAAAATAAACATTTTGTAAGACCATGTCGTTTGTCTAAGCATCCATTTTGTTCTATATTAAAAACTTGTTCAGTTTCCAACCTTGAAGGAATGGGTAAGAATTCACCAAACCATGTCCCTTGTTGTCCACATAGAAGTTGTATAAAGTATGAATGAAGACGAATCGATATACATCATCTATTTGGGTGGAACACAACGTACTTGAGATGGAACAACCTTAGAGAACTATAAAGCTTAGTCCTTCGTTTCCTTCATCATTGAGCTTGTCAGGGACAAACTGAACATTTTCATATGCATTAATAGCCATTTGGACAAGTATAACACAAGTGGAAAAGATCCACTTGAAATATTTGTAAAGATAAAATACAAAGCACTTTACACTAGTAATTTGCTTCTTCTATAAAAGTTCAGAGGAAATCAGAAGGATTTGTTATTAAACCGTAATTGGTAAAAAAAAATATTCGTTGTGTTGTCAAAATTCGTTAGATGTTTCCACTTCATGGTTGGTTATTCTTTACTTTCTCCTCTTTGCTATTTGCTCTCAGATTCCTTGTCTTTGCGACAAGATTATGCAAAAGCTGCCCAAAATCATTATCAAGAATCCGACTTGGAATAATAAAAACAAAAGCAATAGAGGTAATTTATAATATAATGGAGCATGACAACTGAAATAGAGAAAGTACTAATTAGACCATTTGATAAATTCAATTATCTTTCCTTCACTAGCCAGTTGATGACTAATGGGGGTCCACTACTCGTCACCAAAGTAATTGATCTATATACCAACGATTCTTATCTCTCATCGAAGTACATATATAATTGCAATTCATAATTTTAAAGTCAAAAGACTCACCTCATCTCTACCAAGATCCATAACCTTCTCCTCGAGAAAGCATGCATCTTCTACTCCCAGTTTCTTAATTGAAGATATGTAATTCTCCATAGAAAATAGAGTTATAAGAAGGTCGTCTGTAATCATAAACTTATCTCCACTCTTGACAAATTGCACATCCCCTTTGTCCCACATTCTAGGTGAATCCATAGTTTCTCGGCAGTGAGGACATCGCACATTCGAAACAGAACTAGCCAAGCAGGTCGTCTTGGAACAACAATCGGGCTTTTGACAAGCATAGACCCGCCTCGGGTTAGGCCTTGCGCTATCAATATTTACTTTCAGATCTTCGCATCGTTCAGCTGCAGCGCTTTGAGGGAAGAGAAGCATGGTCTTGCATGCCTCAGTCTGGAAATTACGCACATCAAGAGTCTCGACGCTCCCATACAAATTGTCCATGCATCCAATATTAGATTGCTTGTTGAGGAGCCCGACGACGGCTCCCAGCGGCAGGGTGAGGAAGCTGAAGAGGATGTCTACAAAGTCGCTGTCCGCTTCGGCCAGCACCACCCTTTTCTTCGCCTTGTCCACCCAAAAACTAACGGTTACCTTTTGTTCACCAGCCATGATGAAATGTATGATCCTCCTTCCTTCAGGACAACCAAATAATATGAGCCTACGCCGCAAAAAGGTTGAAAATGTTTATTATATTATAACCTCCAAATCGAAATTATTTAGAAAAATACTCCAGTCAGTTTCCATGTCCACGTCCAAATCATTCATCATCCACAAACGTTCACTGTTGGCTTATAATTATAAGCAGACATGCAAATATAATGATATCCCCTCCGATCATAATGTTCATCCCGCATAGTGAATATTCAATGTGTTATAATATCATGATTAATGTTATGAAATAATGTTGATGTTCATTTAGTTTCCCAAGAAGTTGATATTCCCCTAGTACATTAATCTTCTTCCTAGAACAACACAATGCATGTTCTTGAAAGACTAAATTCATGAATGAGTAATTAATATGATTCATATATCATCATCTTAGTTTGTATATAAATAGAGATATTCCTACCTCACTTTGATATAGCAATGAAGAACGAATGAAATAAAATTTCTCTCTACTTCTCGTCTACTTTTTCTTCTCTACTTTATTAGTTTCATAACACGTTATCAGCACGAGACTCTACCATTGAAACAATCTTCTTCAAGTCCATTAGATTCATCGTTGGGCACATGTTGATATTTTGGATAAACTTTCAAGGTATAATTTCTCTTTCCAATTCAATTCATTTTTCACTATGACTAACCTTACAAAACAAGAATTTACGCCACTTGATATTTCTGGAAAGAACTACTTATCTTGGATGTTAGATGTTGAAATACATCTTGCTGCAAAAGGTCTTGAAAATACTATTATGAAAGAAAATGAGACATCAAATCAAGACCGTGCCAAAGCTATGATTTTCCTTCGCCATCATTTGAATGAATGATTAAAAACTGGATATCTAACTGTGAAAGATCCACTTACTATGTGGAATAATTTGAAGGAGAGATTTGACCACATGAAGTTGGTCGTGCTCCTAAAAGCCCGGTATGACTGGCTTCACTTAAGGCTACAATATTTTAAATCAATCAGTGAGTATAATTCTGTAATGTATAGAATTACCTCTTAATTGCAATTGTATGGAGAAAATATCACTGATGACGATATGTTAGAAAAAACATTTTCAACCTTTCATGCCTCGAATATGCTCCTACAGCAGCAATATCGAGAGAGAGAATTTAAAAAATACTCTGAATTGATTTCATGCCTCCTTTTGGCTGAACAAAATAATGAATTATTATTAAAAAATCATGAATCCCGACTTACTAGTTCTAGTCCATTCCCTGAAGCGAATGCAACTAAATCTCAAAATCATGATCGTGGGCGTCGACATAGCCATGGAGGAGGCGGAGGACGTAGCTGTTATCGTGGACGTGGTCGTGGCAGATATGTGCCTTATAATCACATTGATCATAGCCGTGACAGAAGACAAAATAACTCCCAGAAATGGGATAATAATGATAAGAAAAGTGAAGAAAAGAAATATTATGAGGAAATTTGCTACCGGTGTGGAATAGAAGGCCATTGGTCCCGTACCTATCATACAGCAAAACATCTTGTTGACCTCTATCAGACATCATTAAAAGGGAAAGGCAAAAATACCGAGACAAATTTTATTGATCAAAACAATGTTTATGATGATCTTGATGATATCACACACCTCGATGTAGCTGATTTTCTTGAGCAACCTGAAGTTGCGAAATGATCACATGATAAATACCTGACATTTTGAATTTTGTTATTTTCGCATCATTTATGTAATTTTCTTTATGAATTTTGTAATTTATGGACTTTATTGATATTTACTTTTGTTTGTAATTTTCTTTGTTATTTCTTCCTGAAGAAGAAATGGATGTCAAATATTTGGGATCAAACAATGATGATGATAAATTAATAATACTTGTCTCATTGATAGTGCTACTACACACACGATACTTAAAAACATGAAGTATTTTTCTCATTTGAAAATGGAAGAAACAAATGTTAACACAATAAGTGGTAGTGCTAAATTGATTGATGGCTCCGAAAGAGCCACTGTTTTCTCCCCGAATGAACTAAAATTATCATAAATAATGCACTACTCTCGATAAAGTCTCAAAGAAATTTGCTAAGTTTTAAAGATATCCGTCGAAATGGATATCATATCGAGACGATGAATGAGACAAATGGTGAATACTTATTGATTACAAATACCATTTCTGAGAAGAAATGCGTATTAGAAAAGTTGCCTTCTCTATCTTCTGGTTTATATTATACAAAAATAAATGCAGCTGAAATGTATCACCTTGAAGACCGGAAGTCTACTAATCCTAATGATTTTATGATTTGGCATGATCGCCTTGGACATCCTGGTTCTATAATGATGATACGAATAATTATAAATTCACATGGTCATTCATTGAAAAATCAAAAAATACTAAATTCTAATGAATTCTCATGTGTTGCTTGCTCCCAAGGGAAGTTAATTGTTAGACCATCACCAACGAAAGTGGGAACTGAATCCCCTGCATTTCTAGAGCGAATTCATGGTGATATATGTGGGCATGTAGATCCACCATGTGGACCATTTAGACATTTTATGGTACTAATTGATGCATCAACAAGATGGTCACATGTAAGTTTATTATCTAGTCACAACCTAACGTTAGCGAGATTGCTTGCTCAGATAATTAATTTACGAGCATAATTTCCTGATTATCCCATTAAGAAAATTCGTCTAGATAATGCTGGTGAATATTCATCACATGCCTTTAATAATTATTGCATGGCTATTGGGATAAGTGTTGAACATCCTGTGACTCATGTTCATACACAAAATGATCTAGCCGAATCATTTATTAAACGGCTTCAATTAATTACAAGACCATTGTTAATGAGGTCTAAACTTTTCTTTATCTGTTTGGGGACATGCTATATTATATGCAACAACACTTGTGAGAATTAGGCCAACAAGTTATCATATTTATTCTCCCTTACAATTAGTTCTTGGTCACGAGCCCAATATTTCTTATTTAAGCTTACAATTAGTTCTTGGTCACGAGCCCAATATTTCTTATTTAAGAATTTTTGGTTGTGCGGTATATGTTCCTATTGCACCGCCTCAACTCTTATTTAAGAATTTTTGGTTGTGCGGTATATGTTCCTATTGCACCGCCTCAACGTACTAAAATGGGCTCTCAAAGAAGATTGGGGATATATGTCGGGTATGAATCACCTTCTATACTTAAATATGTTGAACCATTAACATGTGATTTATTTACTGCAAGATTTGCAGATTGTTATTTTGATGAATCATATTTCCCGACATTAGGGGGAGGTAAAGATCAACCGAAAAAAATTACTTGGAAAATATTATTAGACTTTCTTGATCCTCGTACAAAAAAATATGAACTGAAAGTTCAAAGGATTATACATTTACAGAAAATTACAAACCAATTACTGGATGCTTTTAGTGATTATAGAAGAATTACTAAATCGCATATTCCAGCAGAAAATGCTCCGATTAAAATTGATATCACAGAAGGACAAATTAAAAGTGCTAACGAATCTAAAGCACACCTAAAGCGTGGTAGACCTCTTGGCTCCAAAGAAAAGAATACTCAAAAGAAAAAAGGATCAAATGATCAAAATATTGCTAATGATAAAATTCAACTTCCTGAAGAGCCAACTCCTGAAGAAAATGAAACTTCAATAAATTTAGTTATTACGAGAAAGAGTTGGAACCGAAGAGAAGTAATTGTCGATAATGCATTTGCATATAATATACCACTTGATATTATGGAAGTTGACAAGGATCGTGAACCCAGATCGATTGATGAATGTCGGCGAAGAAATGATTGGTTAAAATAAAAAGATGCGATCCAATCTGAATTAGATTCACTGGCTAAACAAAGTTTTTGGATCTGTAGTCCAAACACCTGAAGGTGTAAAGCCAGTGGGATATAAATGGGTATTTGTGAGGAAAAGAAATGAGAAAAATAAAATTATGAGATATAAAGCAAGACTTGTAGCCCAAGGATTTTCACAAAAATCGGGATTTGATTATGATGAGACATATTCGCCAGTAATGGATGGAATTACATTTAGATATTTTATGAGTTTAGCAGTACATGAAAAACTTGATATGCGTCTGATGGACGTAGTCACTGCTTATTTATATGGAACATTAGATAATGATATCTATATGAAAATCCCTGAAGGATTTAGCATGCCTAAAGCATGTAAATCAAATCCTAGAGAAATGTACTCCATTAAGTTGTAAAGATCTTTGTATGGACTCAAGCAATCTGGACGAATGTGGTATAACCGTCTTAGTGAATGTTTAGTCAAAAAAAGTTATACAAATGACCCTATATGTCCATGTGTTTTCATAAAGAGGAATGGGTCAAATTTTATGATCATTGTTGTATATGTTGATGACCTTAATCTGATTGGAACTCCTAAAGAGCTCCAAAAGACGATTGAATATTTGAAGAAAGAATCTGAGATCAAAGATTTTGGTAAAACTAAATTTTGCCTTGGTCTACAAATTGAGCATTTAGAAAATAGGATTTTTGTTCACCAAACTGCTTATACCCAGAAGGTATTAAAATGGTTCTACATGGATAAAGCACATCCATTAAGTATCCCAATGGTTGTTAGGTCACTTGATCCTGCTAAGGATCCTTTTAGATAAAAAAAAAAGATGAAGAGATTCTTGGTCCTGAAGTACCATATCTCAGTGCAATAGGTGCACTAATGTATCTTGCTAATTGTACAAGATCAGATATATCATTTTCTGTGAATTTATTAGCAAGATTTAGTTCATCTCCTACAAAACGACCTTGGAACGGTATAAAACATATTTTTCGTTATCTCCAATGAACAATTGATCTTGGCTTATTTTATTCTTATAACTCGACCTGAATTGTTTGGATATGCTGATACTGGGTATTTATCTGACCCGCATAAAGCAAGGTCTCAAACTGGTTATTTATTTACATGTGGTGACACTGCTATTTCATGGCGATCTACGAAACAATCAATTACTGCCACTTCTTCGAATCATGTTAAAATAATTACAATTCATGAGGCAAGTCGATAATGTATTTGGCTAAGATTAATGATCCACTATATCCGGAAGAATAATAGATTGTCTCCTAAAAATGAAAATCCTCTGACTATTATGTTTGAAGACAATGCAGCTTGTATAGCTCAATTAAAAGGAGGATATATTAAAGGGGATAGAACGAAACACATTTCACCAAAATTCTTCTTTACACATGATTTGCAAAAGAATGGTGAAATCGTTGTGCAACAAATTCGATCGAGTGATAATCTGACAGATTTATTCACCAAGACATTGCCGACTGTAACTTTTGAGAAATTGGTAAAAAATATTGGAATACGTTGGTTGCAAGATCTCAAATGATATTTGAATCAGGGGGAGAAACTAATACACAAAAATAGTGTACTCTTTTTCCTTCACTAGGATTTTTTTCCCACTGGGTTTTTCCTAGTAAAGTTTTAACGAGGCATATTTTTGTGTAATGTTGGACATCCAAGGGGGAGTGTTATGAAATAATGTGGATGTCCATTTAGTTTCCCAAAAAGTTGATATTCCCCTAATAGTACATTAATCTTCTTCCTAGAATAACACAATGCATGTTCTTGAAAGACTAAGTTCATGAATGAGTAATTAATATGATTCATGTATCATCATCTTAGTTTGTATATAAATAGAAGAGGTATTCCTACCTGATTTTGATATAGCAATGAAGAACGAATGAAATAAAATTTTTCTCTACTTCTCGTCTACCTTTTCTTCTCAACTTCATTAGTTTCATGACAATTAATGATTAATGTTCATCCCATAGAGATGTAGTTCGAATAATAAATTAATACTAAAGGGACAGAGATTAAACCAAGAGTAATTAAAGCGAGATGAATGTAATTACAGTGTTTTTTTTTTGGTTTGGGTGGGGGGGTGGTCTAAGGTCGTCTCGTTTCTAACACTGAACCAGAACAATTTTCGAACCGTCATATTTTTAAATTAAATCAAGATCAGCAAGATACCTTGTTCTTCTTCTTCTTCCTCTTGGGGTTTCCTAGGTTTTGCTCCTCTTCCCCTTTTCGCTCCTTCTAGAAGAGGAAAGTATCAAAATGGGCCATAAATCAGAAAGCGCCTTTTTTTGTTTATTTTAAATGAGTCCCCCAGGCCTTTCATACTTTGAAATTAGTACTCTAAAACTTCATGCATTTTGATTAGGCCCAAAATCTTTATATATTTTGGAATTACCCCCACAAATCAACATATTTTGAAATTAGTCCCCCAAATGTGTTAAGGGTTCTGAATTTAGTCCCAAAATCTTTTAACTCGCCGGTAACTAGAGGGACTAAATTCATAACACTCAAAAAGATTCTGGGGTTCATATTAACACATTGAAGATGTGGTGCAATTATGTCGAGTAAACCCTATTAGAAAAAAAAACAATTTAGATGGGCCTAAGTTATTGTTCTAAAAGCCCACTTAGAATTCTGGCCGGCTTTCGCTTTGAATTAGGAATTTGTATGATGGGCCTAATTTCTTACACTGAAGAATGTTTACAAAAGAGGAATTAGACGCCAGATGAGCGGACTTTTGTCGGCGCGGACGAGTTTCAAGAAGTTAATACGGTCATCAACAAAAAAAAATTGTATGAATAGCAAAATCCTGCGTCTCAAATGAAGAGGATTTCTCCCTTACCATACTAATTCTATATATGCAAAAGAATTAGAAACTCGATCAGCAATATAAAGACGACCATACCGTAACAAGGTGAAGGGATGAACATTCCCAAACACTTAAAAATGATCACAAATGTTAAAACAAAACCTATATATAACGGGCTAATAATTTAGTCATTCGGATTATCGAATGAGCTAACTATGCTAATCCTCCGCCTTTCTCTGTTCCTACCTCTAGATCACTTTGGGTTCAACTGAGTACAGGTTGCGAGTGCGCGCACCGGCAAGTATGGGGGCGGATTCAGAGCTTCCTGTGCAAATTTTGTGAGTACAGGTTGCGAGTGCGCGCACCGGCAAGTATGGGGGCGGATTCAGAGCTTCCTGTGCAAATTTTGGAAGGGGTTTATCAAATATTTGACATGGGGGCGGATTCAGAGCTTCCTGTGCAAATTTTGGAAGGGGTTTATCAAATATTTGACAAACGGACAATAGAAGAACATCCATGCTGTATTTTGAAAAAGATGATCTCTTCTACACTACTTCCACACTATGCTGATGTGGCTCTGATGTGTTGGTGCTGATGTGTACTATGTTAATTCTCTATTAGCTGGAAATAGAGAGTTGATACAAATTTCAATTCTCTAAAAAAAATATTTCATCTTCTTTTCCTTTCACTTCTGTTCCTAGTTCCATATCCTTCACAACCAGAACATGATCATCTCTACGGTATGAGAATTAAAAACATTCCAGAGCCTTTTACTTCATCATTTCTCCAGTTGACCAATGGATGCATTGAAGTAGAACTGTCAATGGTTTTGTTAAATAAACAAATTGATGGGAACGGGGTCCATCCCCATGATGAATTAATATGGATTTAATCCATGAAGATTTTGTGGTTGGCTACATGCATGCATTGATAGAGTGTCTTTCCTCATGCATTGGGAAAAAGAAAGACTAGTCTTTGGACTTTCCCATGCAATGAATGTGGTGTACCCAAGAAGCATATCCTCCCTATAAATAGAAGGGAGATGGTGAAGGTTGAAAACAAGAAACAAGAAGAAGAACCACATACAAATCTGTAATCCTCAAGTGAGTTTGAGAGAAAGTAATCCTCAAGTGAGTTTGAGAGAAAGTGATCCTCAAGTTAAGTTATACCAACTTGAGAGAAGATCATTTATAAGCTTTCATTTGATTATAGTGGAAACGGTGAAGAAGGGGCGGGTGAGGACGTAGGCTCAATTTGAGCTGAACCTCGGTAAATCTTGTGTATGCAATCTCTCTATTTCTCTTTGTATTTCTCTGTTTTTCTCTTCTATTTTTTGTTCTCATCTCATCACAAAGACGGGAAATGTCTTGTTGTACTGTTAATTTCTCAACAGTGAAATCAGAGCAAGATTGCTAATCTTCTTGTGTTGAGATGGAGACTCCCATCGACGGCGTTCGAATGATCAGTTTGAATGGCCGCAATTGGATGATATGAAAGGCGAAGGTGATGGATCTTCTATATTGCAAGGACCTCTATGCACCAGTTGAAGGTGAATCCTCCAAGCTAGAGTCCATGTCAGCGGATGATTGGAAGAAGCTCGATCAGAAAACCATTGGTATCATTCGACAATGGGTGGATGACATTGTATTCCACCATGTGTCAAATGAGACTTCGGCGAGCAGCTTGTGGAAGAAACTTGAAGATCTCTACGAAAGAAAGACCGCCGGCAACAAAGCTTTCTTGATTTGGAAGCTTGTCAATCTCAAGTTCAAGGAAGATGATATGGAAGGCGAAGGTGATGGATCTTCTATATTGCAAGGACCTCTATGCATCAGTTGAAGGTGAATCCTCCAAGCTAGAGTCCATGTCAGCGAATGATTGGAAGAAGCTCGATCAGAAAACCATTGGTACCATTCGATAATGGGTGGATGATATTGTATTCCACCATGTGTCAAATGAGACTTCGGCGAGCAGCTTGTGGAAGAAACTTGAAGATCTCTGCGAAAGAAAGACCGCCGGCAACAAAACTTTCTTGATTCGGAAGCATGTCAATCTCAAGTTCAAGGAAGATGATATGGAAGGCGAAGGTGATGGATCTTCTATATTGCAAGGACCTCTATGCACCAGTTGAAGGTGAATCCTCCAAGCTAGAGTCCATGCCAGTGGATGATTGGAAGAAGCTCGATCAGAAAACCATTGGTACCATTCGACAATGGGTGGATGGACACTGTATTCCACCATGTGTCAAATGAGCCTTCAGCGAGCAGTTTGTGGAAGAAACTTGAAGATCTCTACGAAAGAAAGACCGTCGGCAACAAAGCTTTCTTGATTCGGAAGCTTGTCAATCTCAAGTTCAAGGAAGGTGATTCTATATCTGAACATTTGAATGAAATTCAAAGTATTGTAAATCAGCTTGCAGTCATGAAGATGGTGTTAGAAGATGAGCTTGAAGCCCTTCTTTTGCTTAGCTCGTTACCAGATAGTTAGGAGACGCTGGTGGTGTCTCTTAGCAACTCTGCACCTGAGAACCAAGTTACAAGCAGTCTCTTAAATAAAGAAATACGAAGAAAGTCATTTGGATCCTCTCATTCTCATGCTCTTGTACTAAGAACAGGGAGAGGAGCAAATATCGACAGCCTCAGAATCAAGACAAGTCAAGAGGAAAATTAAAGGGTAGAAAGGACATTAGTTGCTTTCACTGCGGGAAAAATGGACACATAAATCGGGAATGCCGCAAGCTCAAGCAAGAACAAAAGGAAGGAAAGACCAATAAAAAACAAGAATGAATGAAAATGCAGCCGTTGTCAGTGACAATGAAATTGTGCTTTTCTCGGCATGTGAAGAAGACTGTGCAAATCTCACTTGCCAAGACTCGGAATAGGTGATTGATTCTGGTGCCTCATACCATGCTGCTTCCCAGAAGGACTACTTCACTTCACTTCGTGAAGGTAATATTTGAATGGTAAAAATGGGTAACAAAAACTCTTCTCAAATTCTTGGCATTGGAAATATTTATGTTACAACTAGCCTTGGAACAAAGATGATTCTAAAAGATGTTAGATTTGTGCCCAATCTTCGTCTCAATCTTCTCTCTACTGACAAGCTTGGTGAAGAAGGATACACGAGCAGCTTTGGTAAAGGATGTTGTAAGCTTACCAAAGGATCACTTGTACTAGCAAGAGAAGTGTTGCACTCTCTATAAGACTCAGTTTCACTTAGAGAATGATCAACTTGGAACAGTGGAAGGTATTTCTATGGATTTGTAGCACAAGCGGCTTGTCCACATGAGCGAGAAAGGGCTATAAACTCTCGCAAGGTAATAACTACTTTCATCCATGCAAGGTACAACACTATCCTACTGTGATCACTGGTTGATTGGGAAATATTACCTAGTTACTTTTGTTAAAAAATATAACAAAAAGGAAACATACATATTGGACTTAGCCTATTTGGATGTATGCGGACCCATAAATGAAAAAACTTTTAGTGATGCCTCATACTTTATGACCTTCATAGATGATGCATCTAGAAAGGTATGGGTGTATGTTATAAAAACCAAAGATCAAGACTTTGAAGTTTTCAAAGACTTTTATATCAAAGTTGAAAGAGAAACCGGAAAGCTCTTGAAGTGTACTCATACTGATAATGGTGGTGAGTATACTTCAAGGATGTTTGAAGACTATTGGTTCTTTTTATGGCATTAGATACCAAAAGACTGTTTCACACACACCGTAACCATTCGGGTTTGGCCCGTTAGACTTCCCTCTGGATTTTGATTGGCCTTGTTGTCCCCTACCCTTCTTCTATGCATGCCTTCGTGCCTCGACATGCAGAGCACTCCCACTGCTAGAAGCCTCAGCTCCTGAGACTTTGCGACAAGATTCTTCATCCAGAATTGCTTCAATCACTATGTCGAGCTTCATCTTGTCATTGTCATTACCGTTGCTCACCGTCATCATCATTCTCTTATGAATCTGGTAGATAAAAAAGTAGTAGAAGATCTTGGATCTCATTGTCGAACTTGAGATCTGCTGTAGCAAGTTGTTACACCACAACCTGAAATTTGTTCAAGAAATCCGCTACGCGAGCTCCTTGCTACATCTTTAGATTGAACAACTTCTTCATCAAGTACACCTTATTTGAAGCAGATGGCTTCTCATACAGCGCCTCCAAGGCCTCCATTAACTCCTTGGTGGTGGTCGCATACGAGACGTTGTAAGTCACATGCTGGTGAAGGTTGAGCCTGATGATGACAAGTGCTTTACGATCAAGTACATTCTACTTATCGTCTTCCATTTTCTTAGGTTTCCCCGTCTCTCCTTGGAGGGGTAGGAAGAGATCCTTCTGGTATAAATAGTCTTCTATTTGTATCATTCAATACCTAAAATTTTAGCCGCCAAATTTCTCAATTCGAAGCCTGTTGTCTTCAACTGTAGATCCTATGGCGAAAGATTACGTCTTTCCC